ATGCAGCCAATTTACATACAAACACCAATGTAGAATACCTATTGTTCTCCATATTAGTCTTTAAAAATTCTTGTATGTTTGATCAATTCAAGTTTTTCCAAAGGCTTGCATATTCATGATTTTTTTTCCCGACGCGTTTCGTTTATGCGCTTCTTCCAGGGACCTAGGCTAACCAATTTGTCCCTAAGGTCAGGACAATGAAGAATCTGAGGTACAAAGGAAGGACAAATGTCCCATCTGCCTTCCCTCTATTCAATTAGTGGCGGGGACACTGGGATAACAGAGGACAGAGGATGAGGGCAACACCCACTATTAATTTGTTTGCAGATTGCCTTTCTGGTATGTTCCTTTAATTACACCGTGTGGAGGAGCAGGTGTATGTGATTGTCCCAAGACAACAAATTATATGAATGCACTACAGCAGGGCTCAAAATTTCAAGTCCTCAAGTTACTCGCCACCAGTTGCCGCACCTAACCCCTATCCTGCCCCGGCCTTAACTCCGGCAGGTCAGCGGTGTGACGCAGAGTACAGAGATCAATAACAACACAGAGTGCAGAGGCCAGTGGTGTAATGAAAGGGACAGAGGCAAGCCAGGTTGATGCACAGTACGGAGGCCAGCAGTGTGATGCAGAGTACAGAGGCCAGCGGTGCTATGCAAAGTACAGAGGCCAGCGGTATGACGCACAGTATAGAGGCCAGCAGTGCGATGCAGAGTACAGAGGCCGGCGGTGTGATGCAGAGTACAGAAGCCAGCGATGCTGCGCAAAGTCCAGAGGCCAGTGGTATGACGCACGGTACAAAGGTAAGCAGTACAGAGACCAGTAATCTAATGCAGAGCGCAGAGGTCAGCGGTGTATTGCAGAAAGAAGAGGGACTTACGGTGCACAGTTTATCTGATTCTGGTGCTCTCTTCCTCTCTTCTGTTGGTGGTGGTGTGGGGGGGTTTGCAGCGATGTTGCCTCCATGTACAGAGGTGAAGCCTCCAGCAGCCTCGTTGAGCCTCCCTTCAGGTCCCGAACAGATGGTGAACAGTACAGAGGTCAGCAGTATGACGCACAGTACAGAGGTCAGTAACGTAACACACAGTACAGAGGTCAGTAATGTAACACACAGTACAGAGGTCAGTACAGTAATGTAACAGCACAGTACAGAGGTCAGCAGAGCGACGCACACTATAGAGGTCAGTAATGTAACGCGCACTACAGAGGTCAGCAGTATGACGCATAGTACAGAGGTCAGTAATGTAACGCACAGTACAGAGGTCAGTAATGTAACACACAGTACAGAGGTCTGCAGTATGACACACACTACAGAGGTCAGTAATGTAACACACAGTACAGAGGTCAGCAGCATGATGAACAGTAGAGGTCAGTATTGTAATGCACAGTACAGAGGTCAGCAGTATGATGCACACTACAGAGGTCAGTAATGTAACGTTTAGTGCAGATCTGCGGCGTAAGGCAGAAAGAAGAGGGATTTACATTCCACAAAGCTGATGTGATTCAGGTGTTCTCTTCCTCTCCTGGTGGTGTTGGTGGGGACGGGTTGGTACAGCAATGTATTCTCCATGTTTCAAGTGTCCTGCCTCTCCCGCGCTGTGCTTCCAGCCAGTAGGAGCTCTGCAGTCTTCCTCCCACCCTATGGCAGCTGAGGTGGGCAGAGGAAGCTGCAGGAGTGAAGACAGCCACACTGATTCTACTCCTTCGGCAGTGGCGATTGCTGTGTCAGTTTTCTCTTCTCCTCAGCCGCTGCCGCTATAGAGCGGCAGAGGAGGAGAAGAGAAAACTGACACAGCGACCGCCGCTGCCGAAGCGGCGGCAGTTTCCCACCCTGGATTTCCACTCGCCACCACGCAATTTTCACTCGCTAATTGCGAGTGGGCGAGTGGAAATTTTGAGCCCTGCACTACAGGATGTGCAAGGGGGTTGTACAAGCAATGCACACATAGATGGAATTCCATCACAGCACAGCAACCCACACTGGACCCCAGGCTGAGGATCCACTCCTGTTCTCGTAAGGTAGGGAGGTTGAGTGGATCTTAAAAAAAACTTAAAAATAAATAATTTATCTGGAGTGTATACAGTATGTGTGTGTGAGAATGTCTGTGAGTGTGAGATTGCGTCTGTGGTTGTGTCTGTCTGTCAGTGTTTTTGAGGGCCCTTTCACACTAGTACAGTGCGTAATCGAACAGTGCAAGGGGGTTGCAAGATTCTCCTTGTAATGGATCAGAGCAGAGAGGCAGCTCCCTCCCGCCCCCCTGCCAGACACGCCCCCCGCCCACACGCATGCCCGCCACCTGTGTTTCTGTTTGTGGCTCCCTGGACGGCAGAGCGGGCAGAAGACATCCCCCGAAAATAAGACCTAGTGTCTTTTTTCGTGAAAAAAAAAAAATAAGACACTGTCTTATTTTCGGGGAAACACGGTAGTATTTTACATCTCCCTATCTATTTAGGTATGGGTAATCCCTGATTGAAGTCATTATTTAGAGGCACAGCTTTCTGGTTTCCTTTCTTCGGGCAGCAGAGCACCAAATCCTTGTTTGGAGGTATCAGCCCAAAGTATCACTTTGTTTGATATGTTTTAGTGTGCTAATGTTCCATCATTAATAATGAGTACTTTCTTTCTGTCAAATGCTTTACTCCCACTGACAATCAGAATTGTTCTTTAAAAGTTACGTTAAACTTTAGAACATAACATTTAGAATTACTTGCTTATTGTTAGAAAGCTGCTGCAGATATGACTCTTACCATTTAGGATGTTGCTGGACACATGGTTGAGAGCCTGTTGTGTTTTATTGGAAACTAACGGAACACAGAGAACGGAAATGGTATCATAACCATGTAGTTCCAGTAGGAAGAACATTCCATTATGCAAACATCAAACACAATACTAGCGCCTACTGGCAGAAATAGTAATGACAGTATAATATATAAAAATAGATGTTACATCTATGTGTGTATAAACAGCATGCTAATACATCTTTTTTTACTTGGCTTACTTACTCATCTGCAGAGAAGTGACATGGCAGCTCCTATATCTGGGCATCTAGTGATTGCATCGTATAAAAGTGCCAACACTTCTTGTCTATATTTTCCATTGTTAAAAGATCTTCTTCTTCCAACTTTAGGTAAGCTGTTTCCATTGCTGTGCTTACACATTTGCATTAGCTTGGTGCTGGTTGAGAGATGTGATCTCTTCATCTGCAGCTTTATTCCACATTTGTTTCTCATAAATATGTAGCTTTTGCATTTATTCCCATGATGCTGGCTCAGGCTGTAACACTCTGCAAACCATATATGAGAAGCATCTAGCTGAGATCCCCTTATTGGATCTTGCAAACTCTCTGACTGAGGTTGAAGGCGGTTCAACTTCTTCCTTTTCAAAGGATAAATCACTGATGCCAATTCCAATTTCAGTGATGGTCTGTTCCTTTTCCAAAGGTAATAGTGGGGCTTCTTACTCAGGTTGTTGTTCAGAAGGTTTTTATATAGTCTAAAGCAGTGGTTCTTAACCTGAGCAACCTCAGGACCCACATTTGTCCTTGGTCATTAAGTTGTGACCCAAGTCACACTGCAATGGAACGCCTGGCATTCCGGTGCAGGCGATTAAACTGTGGGCGGGAGGTGTGTTTGGGTGTCATTCAAATGAATGACAACCCAACCCACCTCCCACACCGTAGTAAGTGCAATTGTATGGTACAGTGTGTTAATCACACAGGACTGTTCGATTAAGCACTGTACTAGTGTGAAAGGGCCCTCAAAAACACTGACAGACACACACAACCACAGACGCAATCTCACAGTCACAGACATTCTCACACACACATACTGTATACACTCCAGATAAATTATTTATTTTTAAGTTTTTTTAACCAGTTATTTACTACGGGCGGACGGCAAGAGGTTAAGATCCACTCAACCTCCCTACCTTACGAGAACAGGAGTGGATCCTCAGCCTGGGGTCCAGTGTGGGTTGCTGTGCTGTGACGGAATTCCATCTATGTGTGCATTGCTTGTACAACCCCCTTGCACATCCTGTAGTCCAGATTTGACTTGAGTCTTGACCAGGCTAGGTGTGACTGTTTACGATCACCATCCCATTGTGATATGAATCAATACAGGACAAGCTACACCATTGTGAAAAACCAGTTTGGTTTGTTAAGGTGGCACCTTCCATTGTATGAACCCAGCTTTCTATCAACAAACAAACAAAACCTCCGTCTCTATTGCAAATCTATGTGTGTCTGAAAAAGTCCACTAAGATATATCGCAACACACAGGTTTGTACACCTGTGGTCATGTTGTGTCATAGCTGTGGGTAAACATCTTTAAGAAGTAAAGTTGCAGCTGCACAATGGCTGGCCGTGATGTAGTTTCACTCATAAGAGCAAGCTGCTTAAACTCTGCAGTAGAATCGCGCACTCTATAGAGACAACACTGCTCCTACGAAAACTCCCATGTAATTGAGTGTTGTCACTTTAGAAAAAGTCAACATTACCAGGTAACAAATAATATAAAGCAACCCTGCAGAAGAAAAGAAACACATTTAATAAATAGAATAGTTACCCAAAAAGTAAATGATCCCTTAGCACACAAAACCGGTTCCATAAGTAGGTACAGTCTATTTTAGCTCTTCTAAAAAGGCTGCTTACAAGTCACATATAACTTTAGGGAGAGTCAATATATAGGGAGCTATTTTGGGTGTTTTTATCTTTTTTTTCACACTTAAAACTGCTATAGCAGTTTGAAGTAGTTTACCTACTTTGGTTTAGTTTCAATGATTTGATTAATTTTTATAAAATGCCCATGACAGTAAATATATACGTTTGCTTGTTGATTAGAAAAAATGGGTAAGGGTCAATAAAAGGTAATTTACACATTATTATACTTGTAAGCATTTAATCACTGTGCCAGTACAGTCACGGAGTGAGTTAAACAAAGATGAATGTTGTCTCTTTAAATGTTGCTTACATGTTTGCCAACCTATCAAGGATCATCATTTCTTCACTTCTGTTTAATCAGCATCTAATATTTGCACAGCACATCAAAAGAAGGAGAGTTCTTTGAATTGGGTGGAGCTGGTTTCTAGAAATGGGACAGACTTTGAGTATATATGCAAGGGTTTATTACAACTCTGAAGTTTTAGCCTGGACAGACCACAAGTGAAGACTCCAGCCATGGCAATTCTACCAGAGTCAGCAACGCTTTTTCTAATTTGCACCCTGGTTATGATGTGCGTGAAAATCCTATTGGACCTGCCCAAGAAGAAGAATTACAAATTCCCCCCAGGACCCAGACCTTTGCCAATAATTGGGAACATGCACATTCTGGATATTATCAGGCAGGATTATACTTTCATGAAGGTGAGTCTTTAAAAAGTTTATTGGATCGTATTTAAGTTTTTGGTAGATGCTGGAAAGTCATAGAGTTGGAGGGTTCCCTCAACTCGAGAGGCAAGATTTTGTTAAGGATTTTGTATGTGCATTACTTTTTACCCTTATTAAACAGTTACTTTTCTACTGCACTTAGATCTGTGTACCGGGTTTCTTTGTTGTTTTCACGTTATTTAAACTAACTCACAATTTCACCTTCAGTAAATATCAATCCAAAGGGAGAGTAAGTATCTTGCCAAGAGTATTAAGCCAGATAACTAAGCACTGTTTAATGCAAAACACATCCAGGATTTGATCTTGTCAATGTGTATGCCAGATATTTTATTTGCAATTATGTTGTAGCTTTGTCGAGACGAGTATGGGAGGGAGTGGTACTGTTTGTATGGGACTTAATTTTGCTAGTGGCAGCAGTGTTAATCATTCATCCTAAGCCTTCGGTATTTATTTACATGTTCTTACTGGGGTTTTTTTTACTATTGTTAGCCAATTTGGCTTATGGTATAAGATGTCTCCTTATTATTTTTCATTTGTTTTAAGAGAATCAGAATGTTCATATTAATCCACATACCAAATGGCTTATTCAATGAAAAAAAAGGTGCAAAAGGCACTGATGATGTGCAAAATTCAGTCAAAATAGCAACCTGATTTCAGTTTATTGTAATTAAAATATTGAATGGTTTTCAGCAAGCTTGTTTGTACAGCAGAGTTCTTTTTATATCTTAGCACAAAATTACTTTTGTTATAAAATGTATATATGATAGTATTATGGGCTGAGTCAAGGAAACTAAGATTGTGTTGAGTTTTGCTCTTTGAAACATTTATTCTATATATTATTTTTAAATATGCTTGTACTTAATTATTAGCTGCCTAATAATGGGAGTGATGTGTTTGAGAACTTACTCAACCTCAGACAATAATCATAGGTGATATCAATCTTGAAACAATCGGGCGAATTAGCTGTCTTGGAGTTTTTATGCTTCTTGGTTAATTTTTCATATGGAGCGAAGATATCCTTAATCCGGGTCTTTCTTGTTTAATTTCTTTTATTTACTGACCTTGAAGTCTTAAAGGTCTTTCAGCATTGTCAATTGTGATTCCATGGTTACTCAAATCTTAGACTTCATTTGCAATGTTTATCTCTTTGAATTTAGTTGGTTAGTACAATAGCTGGTTCCTCAAGGGAATTGTTTGTGTCTTGCTTAATTTGTACACAATAGGCTATTTTGGTTGATTAACTTATCTGTCCAGCACAGACTTCTGGACCCTTGTACAGAAAAGTTTGATTTAGTTTCTGTACAAGTCATAGTTCATCAGTTTTTGTAATTTTATATAGAAATACCCTGACAGGAGGGAATTAAACTGGAAACCATGGTTAAACCTTTTGGATACACCTTAATGGGAAATTCATGATATATCACTTTTAAGCTGAGACATTTGGACTGGGTCAACCATGACTTCCTAAACTGAAACGCTTGAGACTCCTAAAGTGACATTTCTTTAAATATTGTTCCTGGATCTATTTCCTCCCATATTAGACTTGGGTATTCCTGGTTACCCATGAGACCTAGCAGTGACCTACTCTACTTGTAATAGTCACAGCACTTAGGGTTTTTCACGTTATACAGTTACCAATCCCAGATAGCAAGGATAACTTGCCACAAACTTGTGGCAGGGTTAAATTGTAATTTTTTTAACTTGCCGCACACATTCCTGGCAAGTTGTAGACTTGCAGAACACAAGTTCTAGTTGACACTTTTTGAATTTGTAGCAAGTTTGCTTGGCAAGTCTGCAGCAAGAGTCCTGCAGGTCTTAGCAAGAGGTCTGCAAGCTCACTGGTCTGGAGACTTGCAATGCAGACTTGCTGTAATTGTGCAACAAAATTGTGAGGCTTGGCAAGTCTGCAATAGTTTAGCAAGTCATTTTCAAACTTGCAGCACAATTGCTTGCTATCTGGGAATGTTATTTATCTATGCCTGTACTCTGGGTATTTTATACCTTTTTGCATTTGACAGTAAAGTTCTATTCCTGTCTTTTGTACCTTTTGGGGAGCTAGGATAAAAAGTGAGTAGAAAATCCTCCTTCTGAGGGTACATTTCCCTGTTATTGTGACTACAAGGATAAAGCAAATCCGCTCTGGTTCAAATTAAGAGAGGCTTCTTCTAATTCTGCGAAACCCACACTTAGACGTGAACCCCAGTGAAGTCCATGGTGGTTGAAAAGTACAGAAAATGTTATTTGATGTGAAGTGTTTCGAAATAATGTGAAGTGTTTCGAAATAAAGGACAAATAAATGGATTTATTTTAATGCGTTTTTTTGTAGCTGTGCTATTTTTCTAAAAACTAATAATAATCAAAATTGAGGAATAAGTGTTTTCCTTACATGTTTTCCTAATTTATTTATATTTTATTTGTCCTAAGTGAGGTGTTAGGCACACACATATGTGATATAAATATATAGCCCTATCTGTCCTCCAAAAAACAATATATAATATGTGTGGGTGCACTTAAGAAAGTAAGAAAGTATATTACTGCTTTGGAAGAATCACACAGCAAAAATGTAAAAAGTGTGTCAGTCCCTAATGAAAAGAAACTAAAAAAAAACTCAGTCATGAAGGGGTTCAAATTATTTTTGTGTGTGCAGATTTGTGCACAAAGGCAGGGCACAGAAGAAAATGTACCCCAGCGCTGCAATTCAAAGAACTCAAGCATTGTTTGATGTAGCCCCAACTACTAAAATCCCATATAAGCGCCAACATAGTATAACTTGGAAAGCCTATTTTAATTTTAATTGCTAGCTTTCATCAAAATAACAGCTGGGGTGATAATGCTCTGCCCTATCTCCCTCAATATGTTGCCTGTTAATCACCCTGTCACATGCTCTCCCAAAGGAAACTATAGCTGCTTTGCTGACGCACACTGCACAGGCATATTCAATTGTTGTCACCATTTAAACCAGGCCTTCTATGAAAGTGGATAGTCCATTCTTTTTAAAGCCCCCTACCGGCCATTGAAGTCACGTGCAAATAAAGCTAAACAAAAAAAAACCTACCTCGGCCCCGTCTTCCAATGCTTCCCAGAGGCTGGGCACTCGAAATCCTGTGAGAATGCACTCCAGCCCATTGCAGGGGTGTATTCTTGTGGCATGTCAGGTGCCCAGCTATCCCAGGAGGCAGCAGTTGCACATAATGATGTCACCCTTGCCCTCCAGAAGCATCGAAAGCTGAGTCTAAATTCAGTTTTTATTTTCTCCTTTTTTGTTTTTCTAGAAACAGCTTTCTTTTTAAATTGGCTTTGCATATGATTTGACTATGAGGGGTAGGGCTTAAATAGAGTGTGCCAAAAACACATGCAGCCTGTTGTGACTGTAGTGCAGGTGGACAGGCATATGCTCCAAAGAGGCTACAGTACATCAGGAGCATTGAAAGTGCAAGTAAAGTATTATATGTAAAAAAGTGCTGAAAAGTGCTGAGGTTTGTTTTGACAGAAGAGACTGTGTAAGTCTCTGTGTAAGTCTTGTGCAGTGTGTGGCAATGCCCCGGAGTATGCTGGCGATACAGACACCCAGGACTCTCAGCCAGAGGGACTGATAGGTTCCAGAAGATAATAATTTTTGCAGGGAAGAAGCTGGCCTTTGGCCACTTTTTCTGGATTGTAGCTGGGATCTGAATCTCTGGAGAGTTCTGGGTGGGATGAAATCTCTACTTCCAGTTTGCAGGCACCCACTATAGACAAATAAGACGTATCCATGGGCACCCGCATACGCCTGCATCCATCTAGGCATGTGGGAACATGACAAGGTCTACCCACATCACTTATTTAAACTATTCACCAAGTCATGGTATGGCTTCATTGACGATATATTACTAATTTGGACAGGCTCGAGAAACCAATTACTAGAGTTTATAGCCGACCTAAATAAAAATGACAGAAACATCCACTTGACGTATACCATAAGTACCAGCGAAATCTCTTTTTTGGACTTGATAATTCGAATAGAAAGGGAACAATTAGTGACTAACACCTTTCGAAAACCCACAGCAGCCAATACAGTACTCCACGCGAGTAGTCACCATCCACCTTCCCTGAAACAGGACATACCTACTGGCCAGTTCCTCCAATTAAGGAGGAACTGTACATCATATGAAGATTTTAAATCAGAATCGCAAGCCATGTATGACCGCTTCAGGGAACGTGGCTACTCTCATCGAGTCCTTAGGAGAAGTTTAGCAATAGCCAACAAAAGATCTAGAGAAGACCTCCTTATGGGGACAAAAAATCGAGACGAAGAAGAGGAAAAAGACCACAGAGTACGAATGATTACCCAGTATGGTTCAGGTTGGTCCACTCTCAAACAAACACTGAATAAGCATTGGCACATCCTCCAACTATGCCCCATTCTGGGGGAAATAGTAGGCCCCTATCCCCTTGTAACCGCCAGACGGGCACGCAACCTACGCTACCAATTGGTCTCGTCGGAATTCGTTCCCAGCCCCCAGGAAACTTGCATCTCTCGAAGACAACAAAACCTAAAGGGATGTATGCATGCGGGCACTGTCATATATGCCCCTTGGTCCATAAGTCCAAACAGTTTGTGGACTCAAAAGGTACCACCAGTTTTGATATCCTACACTTCATTAATTGTAACATAACGTGGGTTATCTATCAAATAGAATGCCCTTGCAAAAAGTTTTATATCGGAAAGACAAAACGTGAGTTAAAGACGAGAATAGGTGAACACCTAAGAGATATAAGAAACCATGACAAAGAGAGCCCATTAGCACAACATTTTTCCAAGTATCATGGAGGACGAACCACAGGGATAAGGATTAAGGGAATATATGCACTTAAATTATCAGCACGTAGGGAAGACTTTAACACGGTCTTACTCCAAAAGGAAAAAATATGGATCTTTAAGTTAAATACTATGGTCCCACATGGTCTGAATAACGAATGTAGTTTACAGGTATTCCTCTAGCCCTTACCCACGTGGTTCCCAAATGCCTGCCCCATAGGCAAATCCTTGTCTACTTTATCTTTTCTCTTCAAATACCCATCCTCTTAACTGTGCATAATTCAAAGATCAGTCCCTTGCAGACCAGGATTATAAGTCACATATAAGTAACTTTTAATGATTAATTTCTAATTTGTAACTTCTCCCTGTGTATAATAAACATTGAATTACCCCCACCCTTGTGAATACCGGAGACCCAAATCCTACCCTTGACTATATACTATTTCTTGTGTAATTTGCTGTCTGACCTCTCACAAAACTTAAAAGGTATTATTATGAGTGACATCACCTTTTGTAATAGGTTTTGAACCTTAAAAGTGTTAGCCGTGACCATATTTCCATCTCTAGGCCATTTATAACTATGTAGACTACTATTCCGCTTTCTTTATGTTGAATGTTTGTATGTAAATTTAAAAATCCCGAGCTCAGTTTATCACAGCACTCAAAGGGTTAAGGGCATCACATGAGTAGAAGAATAAAAACCTTGCGAGCCTACCAGGATCTGACGAAGCCCTGAAAACAAAGGAGGGGCGAAACGCGTCATCCGTTTGTGGACACTAAGCCGACTGACCACCTGCATGTCAGGTCTATAACCTCCGGGTATTGGATTACAAAACAGCGCGATGCAGTGATTTCCTCATTGAAATATTCCGAACCATCCGGGACCCCCTATATATCACCTCATACAGCAGGAAACCATCTAAGAATCCTAGATACTTTTCCTCCAAGTGGGCTGGCTAATCAATATATTAAAAAGGACGTCTAGGAGCAGTTGTCTACTGAGATATACTTCATCGAATGCAACGGACTGCCCGGTGAAACAATCAAGCACCCGTGAGTACAGATACATGCGAGACATTACACACAGTTTGGTTGACTTCTCTTCCTTGTGTGATTACTACTCAGGGTGACACTTTCTATGACTCACCAGTCTACGGGCTCAGTCTCAGAAATACTAAGATTCATCTTCAATCAAGCTATTTACCCTGAGTACTGCCAGCTCTAAATTGGGAGTAAAAGTTACATTAGTGACATTTAACTGGCCACACTATCAGCCTGTGAGAACTGAACCTTTTTTGATTCACAGAAAAGGCACAAACATAATTGAATTAGGGTCCCGAGGTTCAAGTAGTGAAATCCTCTGATTTACTTTCAGAATATAATATAAATTTGCAGCGCTTCCCTCTTTGAGGACCACCCGGTATTCTACAATATATACGTCAGCTTGTCCAGAGAGTGCATGTTTATGTTTGAATGAACGGGTTGTTGCAATAACCATTTTTTAGATGTATTATTGGTGCTGGTTGAAGCGGTGCAATATATCCTTTTAATGAATTTTGTAATTAATAAACTATTAATTTTGTACTACATTTGGACTCTCCGATCCTCCTTATTAGCTGCACTTTGAGTAAACCCCTTTTTGGTTTATCTCCTGTTTTTCTGTCTAAGGTCTGGTTCAAACCTGGGCATTTGTAGCGCGTTCCTACGCTCTGCAAAACGCTCAAACACCGAAATCCCGTTATTTCCTATGGGTATGGTTCACACCTGGGTGTATTACAGGCTGTATGAACGCGCTACAAAACGCCCTACGCCCAAAGAAGTACAGGAGCTTCTTTGTAGCCCTCGGAAGCACGCGTTTGTCTCGTGTTTTTTTACCCCGAATCGCGGTAAAAACGCGTGACATGAAACACGCAACAAGCGCGCATATTGGATACGCCTAGGTGTGAACCCAGCCTTAGTGAGCCTGTGACACACAAGGGATGTGTGGAAGAGTCACATGGAGTATTCGTGACAATCTTGAGTTGGTGAGACATTGTTATATTGTCCACTTGCTGAAATATAAGCAGATTGCATGTTGTTTTGCTGAAGATAGATCTTTTCTGTTGCAAGAGAAATAAAAGACTGTCCTTTTTGTGTTAAAACGGCTTCAAGACTGGTCCTTAACTGCTCACCATATGTGCTAAGTTCCCCAAACATCACAGTCTCTAGTGACATACATCCTCCTATCTGCTTGTCTGCACTTTTTTGATTACTGTCACACTATACACTGTGCACACTGTACACAAATCCAAGCATTTGGATTTGTATTTGCACAGCATCAGTGGAATTCCTTACCTAAAAGATGCCACTCCCATACGCATGAGCAGGAGTTACCTCATCTGAGCCTGGACAATCAAGCGACTAAATAGTTCAAACCTGGAAGAAGTCTTGGATGACGATGGAAGCACCCCCTGTACCCCCAAATTGTCCAAGATGCACAACATTTTGCTGCCTACATAACATTCATTAAAGGTATACATCTAATTTAACAGCCCAGCCAGTACACTAATCTCTCCCTATGCTTTTAATCACCAACACTCCCAATGCTTTCCATAAAGCATATTGTCAATATGGCTGCTGCGACCTCTCTCTTTTATAATAAGGGGGGCTAGCTTATCTAAGAGCTCTCTTATTGGCCCTTCTAAGTTAGCTGATCTATGTTTAAAGGTTAGGCAGTGCATTATAGTTAATCAATCAACGGTGTAGCGCTAAAAGCCTCACAGTGTTACAACCAAATGGTGTTAGATACAAAACGTGTAAAAATTATCAAACTTGATGTTATAAATAAATAACTTTAAAGATTAACTTTGCGTGAGTGAAGATATTGTTCAGCACAATCTGTGACAAAATGTGTATATCTAAACGAGTAACCAGGTGCACAAATCAATGTGTGAAATAGTGTCCAAACGAGTGAATGGTGTACAATTTATCATCAAATAAATACATATACGTGAAAAAAATGAAAAAACGCAACAATTAATTTCATATAATTGTGAATCCAAAAAATGTTTAAAAAACATTTGTGTGTGAATGGGGCCTTAGGGCTCACCGCCTGAGTTGAGCAGCTTCTAGCTAGTCCGGTTTTTCTTCTTTTTTTCTTCCATAAGCGCAGATTTCTATTTTTCACTAGTGCATTATGGTTGCTATGATAAATTCCTGTGTTATTTTGTAAGGTCCTCAAACCTCAAACTAGCAGGATTGCTAAAAACCCATGGTAGGACGGAAACAGAATCTCACCCCTAATGGCAACTATCCAAGTTTGAATTTCCTTCACAGTTGGAAATGCCTATATTGCTTAAATATGTGGGAATAAGCATAAAAATTATGCCATTTGAAACTCTGTACACAACTGTAAAACATTACAACCATGTGTCTTTCATTTCAAATAAAAAAGAAATGTGTACTGATTTCGTACATAGCACTGATAATGAGTTCCTTACACTGTGAGTATGCAGTTGTAACTCAAACAACTTCAGTTTAGATATGAAGCAGATGCCATTACAGCGTAGCCAACACCCTGTGAATGTGCTCTGCAGGAACTTACTTTTTAAGATGATCTCCTCGGGGGGTTATAAGTGGGTGTCTGCTCCCTCACGCCTATCAGGCACCCTCCAGGTGAATGACACAACGCATATTCATATGGTCCCCTAAATAATTTTATGTATTGTTAGCTTACTTTTTAACATTTGGTCTCTATAGCACTTTGTTTTGTGTTGCAATCCTCTCTCTAATAAAAAATATTGTTTTAAACCTATTTTCCAGCTGGCAAAGAAGTATGGCACTTTCTTCACATTCCATTTCGGCAAAGTGAAAGCTGTGGTTTTGATTGGTTATGAAGCCAATCAAGAGGCCTTGGTGAAGGCAAACTATGATTTTGGAGATCGTGGTGTGATACCTATTTCTGATGACTTTCAGCATAACCATGGTACAGTAAATAAGTGAACTCTTTAAGTGTCTGCCAAAGAGATTCTGATGGATTTTACAAGATGGAATAGATCAGGCATACACTGCAACCTACAAGTTCAGAAACATGACATTTTCTACAATTGACTTGTTTTTACAAGTACTGGCTTTGGGGCTGCCATCCTGGAGTCATAGGTGACTTCACCTTTATTTTTTACTACCCTATTTACTTATGCATTGTCCCGAAATAAGCATTGAGATAGTTAAGTGTTGGGACTTGCCAACTTCTTTCTGGTTGCTGACACATTAATTATTGAAACAAAGTGAAGGATGGAAGTACCTTTAATGGCAAAATTCAGGCAAACAGTAAAATATTTAAAATAACATACATGGGGGTTGGTTTACCTGCCAAAGGATTTGTATTTCCATCAATCCAGTCATGGGAGACACAGCACAGCACTGTCTGGCAGGGCAGGGGGCCTGATTTTTCTCTGATGCAGTTAAGTAACACTTACAGGTCTGGTACTTCCCTTTTTTCTGGGACAAAATTAGTCTGCTGAGTTGATCCCTATGTTACTCTACTCTCCCCTCCTGTCAGCATGTCCCTTGTTAACATGTGAACACTGAAGCACAACTAAGCTCTGCTGTACAAGGCATTTCAAGAGCTGATACCAAGTCAAATTCAGGTATTTACACTGCTTGCACAAAAAAAAAGAAAAAAACAATGAATGATGTATTAATGAATAGAGAGTGTCGTTAAAGAAGAAGTGCGGGAAGAGTAAAATATCTCCCCGCAGCTTAGAGCCAGCATGGGACACTTCAACTGTCACAGACCGGCTCTAACACTGAGAAAGTGATCCTGTAACTGCTGATCGGTCAGATCTCAGTCACTTTTGTCAGTCACTGCCTTCCACAGGGATTTCTTCCTCCCCTCTCTGTTGCAAAACTGCTTATTAAAGAGACAGACAGGGGAGAGGTCAGGCGTGACCAAGAGGCACAGCCAGCTGTTTGTTGGGCAGTCGGGGTGGATCCCAACTATATTGTTGGGATCCTTCTCAGCTGAGGTAAGGCTCTGCACTGGCAGATGATAGAGGGAATAAGCTTGCTATCTGCTGACATTAGTAAATGTACTCCTGTGACTCAAGAAAAAAATTAAAGGTTTGGCTTTACTTCACGTTTAATTTGTACCTTTTGAATGAAGGAACATTTTGTATTGAGACTGTTCTTTTTCCTAAACTCTTTTGTTACGTCTAGCGTGAATGCATCATAAAAAACTCTTTATACTATTGAATTGACCATCAGTATATTATTTTACACACACACACCAATTTTCTACATTCTACATATATAACTGTATATACATAATTTTCTGTTTTAGGGGTCCTTTTTTCAAATGGGGAAGGATGGAAAGTGACTCGAAGATTTACTCTGTCCATTCTACGAGATCTTGGGATGGGAAAAAGGCCAATCGAAGGCAGGATTATTGATGAACTGCAGTTCTTAAATGCATTAATTAAGTCTCAAAATGGTGAGTCATGTAGAGAATTTAGTGATAATTCACAAATCCCAATATAAATATTGGGGTTTAAAATAGGAATCTGGCAATAATCTTCTATTTTCTTAATAAAGTGCCGTCAAGTCGACTCCTGGTTACAACATGGATAGTGTTTCCCCACAATGATTTGTCTTCTTTTTGGATCTTCAGTTGCCTCAAAATCCTTATTTTGAATCCTTCAATGGCCTACAGAATCCTTATTCAGTTCCAAAATGTTGTGACTGTAAGACTAGACATTTTTAACTTTTACATTGAATACAACTATGAATGGCAATATAATTGCAGGAGTACATTTGCTGTGTGCAGGAGCTATGTAAGAAATTAAAATAATTTTTCTCTGGCTTTTTCACTCAGCCATATTGCCCTAAAGCATAGATAAGGTTAGGGCCATGTCTCACAGGCGATCTTGGCATGAAGTCAATATTCACACAGCTTATTCTTTGATGATTCTCAAAACCCTTAGTAAATCAGTCTCGCAGTGTCTGAAGGGCAACAGCCATTGCAGTGTTCTCACTTTGGAAAAGCCATAATGCTCTGTGAATCTTATGTTACGATTGCACCCTGTATGAGATTGGTTGTCATGAAGCAGCACAAACCTTCTTAGGACTGCCTCCACTGGGCAAATTTTAATGCTGAAGGTGGTATAAATAATTTTTGTCTTCAAGGGTTCATCACTTAGTTTTTCTAACTACATTGTAGAAAAAAAAAACATTTACATCATGCTATTGTACATTTAGACTAAGCATTGGTCTTAAACAGTGATTGTTTTTTTTTTTTTTATATTTAGGTAAACCTTTTGAGAAAAAGCTGTTTTATAATGCTCCCCCCAATATAACCTTCAGTATGCTATTCGGGAGACGTTTTGATTATCATAACCCAACGTTTAAGAAAATGGTCGATATAATAGATGATGTGGTTAAACTCACTGGACATCCTTCAGTCAAGGTAAAAAACACAGTTTAAAGAAAAGGCAATACTGTTCACATGTCTATTAAAGGTATCACTTGGGCTGTATAATTACCCTGTTATCAAATAAGCTGTCATGTAAAGGGTATGTAAACTATAAACTTCTCTTATTATCTACATTTTGGCCTGTTAAAAATACAATTAAAAGCAAGGGGCAGTGAGTGTGGGGGGGAATTGTGCCATTTTTGCATGTTATCGA